ATAGAGGAGGCTACAACAGCGAGTTGAAGAACAACTTCAAATGCACCAAAAAAAAAGAACAGCTTCAAAGATCAGAACCAATTGGATGACTGTGCCGAAGCTGGAGGAACATGGGGAGGTAAACAAGTTGGTTCGAGAGTTGAACGTGTTCGCCAAGCCATGTTTGACTTTCGATAAACATTTGAAAGTCTCAATCTAGTATACCCCGGAAGAACACGAACCTTTGTATTTAAGGCGTGCTTCCTCGCCGTCGTAGGTGTCTCAATCTAGTAAACCCCAGAAGACCAAGCAATCCGCCCGAGATTCCACGTCTTCCCAAACACATGGTCTCCAACAGCTTTTTCATCAGTTTCCAATTTTTGTAGCTTTCAATGAGAGGTGACCATGTGCCTGGGCAGACGTGGGATCTCCAAGGCGAGTGCTTGGACTTCCGAGGTATACTAGATTGAGGAGGCTACGACAGTGAAAGGGAGCGCACCCTCAAAGACAAAAGGAGGATCAGGACCCATCTCTCAATTTTTCGACCTTCAATTTTCCTCAACAAGTCTGTACAACGAAGAAACTTCATTGACCGGCATGTTAAGGAAAATCGAGAGTTAAAGAATTGGAAGATGGGTCCTGATCCTATAATTCAAGTATCTCATCTCAGGTACCTTTTATAGAGGACTAATGAAGATAACTATCCTCCTTGATACGCGCGCCGTTATTAGTTTGAGGGGACATTTCGGATTGACTCTTCAAATTCGCAGCAGTGCGAACAAAATGCGATGAATCGCACTTCATTCGAATAAGTATTGACAATAAATGATTTCACATATCTGGTTAAAGAAGATATCTGTCCTCCTTGATACGCGCGCCGTTATTAATTTTGCCAAAGACTGAGGGGACGTTTCGGAGCGACTCTTCAAATTAGCAGAACTGCGAACACAATGCGATGAATCGCATTTCATTCGCATACCGTATTGACAATAAATAAATGATTTCCTGGTATGCGCGCCGTTATTATTCGACGAAGACTGAGGGGACGTTTCGGAGAAGAGGCGACTCTTCAAAATCGCAGAACTGCAAACAAAATGCAATGAATCGCATTTCAGTCGCAGTACGTATTGACAATAAATTGCAATCTGTTTCGCATATCTGTTTATTAAAAACACATATACTACGTAAAATAAAAAATTGTTTTTAATGCGCCGAAGACTGTCATTTAATTGGGATTTGAGAGTGTAATGGTACGCGACCTACCAACCTTTATTCGCAACACGGCGAACAATGTGCGACAAATCGCATATCATTCGCATACCTGAATTATGGAGGGAAAAAATCCCGCCCAATGGATTTACTAATAGAAGGAAGCTCAATCTTAGATAAAATGTTAATTAGGAGTTAAGGTATATAGATAAACATTG